TACACCTCATGGGTTAATGAGTGCCCTGAATTTACCTCCTGCCTTGGAAAATATTTCCTTTTTTTTTTTGGCCTTAAAGTTTTCTTTTTCAGAGGATTGCAGAGAGAAAGGAGAGCCTATTTCTAATATACTGGGAGTTGTTCAAAACAAAGAAAGTCAATGCATATATTAGTTACCTTTTGCTGTCTAACAAATTACCCCAAAGTTTAGCAGCTTAAAACAACTAATATTTTTATCTCACAGGGTTTCCGAGGTTGGGAATCTAAGAGCTTTTTAGTTGGATGGTTTGGCTCAGGGTCTCTCACCAGGCTGTAGTCAAGATGTTCTAGGGCTGCAGTCATCCGAAGGCTTGACTGGGGCTTGAGGGTCTGTTTCCAAGATGGCACATTCACAGGCCATGGCAAGATTCCACAGTTCCACAGCACATGTGCTTCTCTGTAGGGAACTTGAATGTCCTCACAGGCCAGCTAGCCTCCTCCAGAGCAAGCAGTCCACAAGGGCGTAAGTGAGTGAGGAGAAAGCCATAGTGCCTTTTATGATCTCAACTTCTAGACTCCAAAGTCTCACACCACTAGCTCCACCGATTTTACTTTCTAGAAGCAAGTCAGAAATTCCAGCCCACATTCAAGGAGGGAGGAATTAGGCTCTACCTCTTAAAGGGAAGAGTAGTAAAAAATTTGTCTACATATTTTAAAACCACTACAGGAATGAACAATAGAATTAGAAGATAGAAGTATTTTTTAGTACACTTAGTGCCTGGTAAAATTAAGTAGCAAGACTTATAGGACCTCAGTACTTTCTACAGACACTGAAGTTGTCCCACTGGAGGGTGACATGACATTTTGGAGTTGGAAGTGGCTTGTTAGCACACACATGTCGTTCACAGGTGTTAAAGCACATCTAGACTACGTGTCTACTGGATGTTTGAATTCCTTCTACCAGCCTCTGCTCGGACACAGGGAAAGGGAACTGTCTGCTTCCTGAGGCAGCCCAGTGTATTTGAAGAGAACTTCATTGCATTTATTCACCTACTCATTCAACCTACACAAAGCACCTACAACGTGTCAAATGATCTTAAGCCTTTGGTATACAAAGATGAATAAGACGGTCTCTATCTCAGAGAGAGTAAAATCTAATGGGGGAGAAAGTATGTAAAAAACTAACTAACCAACTAGCGTGAGAGGGTTATTGTACGTATTTCATGGAGAAGGAGCTATGGGGTCATGGCAGGGGGAGGTAGGCACACTTCCCTGGGTAGTGGGGGGTGGGACAGGGTGGGAGAAGGACTGGAGGAAGTTTGACAGAATAAATAACCTTTGAGCTAAGCCTTGAAAGATGAGGACCAGTGCTCTGGGGAAAGGAGGGGTAAAGAGATTCTAGACAGAATCACGGCATGTGCAATGCATAGAAGTAGGAAGCTACGTGGATCCATCCAAGAAAGACCAAGCCCTGTGCTCTGGGTGGAGCAAGAATGGAGGAATGAAGTGTGGGGCTGGAAAGGCATTTTGTGGCCAGTTGTTACAGGTCTTATACATTATGCTGTGGAGTTTGCACTTTATTACCAGTAGTCTTCAAGGGGGACAATACTCTACTCTAATGAGTGGTCTACTGTACTAAAGAAAGAAAAATGTTCTGAACTGAATGTTTATGTTCCCCTCAAATTCATATATTTTAAACCCTACCCCAAAGTGATGGCATTAGGAGATGGGGACTTTGGGAGGTAATCAGGATCAGACAAGGTCGTAAAGGTGGAGCCCTCATGAATGGGAATAGTGCCCTTATAAAAGCCATGAATGACCTTGCTTCTGCTCTCTTTGTGCCATGTGAGGATATAATGAGAAATCAGCAGTTGGCACCCTGGAAGAAGGTCCTTACCAAGAACCCGACCATGCTGAACCCTGATCTCAGACTTCCAGCCTCTGGAGCTGGAAGAAATAAATGTTTGCTGCTTATTCTAGTCAGTCTGTGGTGTTTTGTTATAGTAGCCCAGACAGACTTGGATAAAAATGTCAGAAATTCTGTTGATGCTTATTTATTTCAACAAATAAGAAAGAAATTTAGCCTTGGTAATTAAAAAAAAATTGTATGACTTGAGAGAAAGTATATTAAGCAAAAATATTTCTCGTATAGTACAGATGTTTCTGAGAGAAAATGTACAGAACTCCATGCCTGAGTAGTTATAGAGATGATGACTCTGAGATTCCAAGTTTGAGTGGCAAGGAGATGGCAGAACTACCTCCTGCAAACTATTGAGTAGTCTGTACACTACACAAAGACACCCAGCAAAGGGGATGTGAAGGCAAAAGTCTTTCCTGAGCGCCACTGTCCACTCTGGTATAGGGCTGAACCAGCCTGGGGAAAGGGGCCTTTTTGTAATTCACCCAAGACCCAGTGTGTGCCAGTAAGGGCTCTGGCACTGGTTCCATTCACTGGGACAGAGATTGAGGAGGAGTAGATTAGGGGTGCAGGGAGAAGCTTGAGTTTGATTCTAGGCATGTTGTCTTTGGATTTGTAAGGGACAATCAGCTGCGATGCCCAGTGGACACCTAAAAATATGGATCTAGAGCTCAGGGGAGAGATGGTGGGGAGAAGGGAGGACTTGGGAAATAATTAGAGAATAGGTTATAATTGAAGCCTTGGCATGGGTAAGACCATGGGTAGGCGTGTAGCTTGAGAATAGGCAAGGATAACCTAATTGAAGGGGCAAGTAGAGGGAGAAGAGCCAGTGAAGTGACAAGAAATAGTCAGAGAGGCAGAGAGAAAGCTAGGGAGGGGGGAATATAGGAGCTGTGGGAGGAGAGAAAGTCAAGAAGAGAATGGCCAAGGGAGAAAGATGAAGTAAATGAGAAGAAAAAATTCTCGATTGGATTTGGAGTTAGGAAATTGTTAATTCCTTTAGAAAGAGTTATTTCTCTGGAGCCACGAGTGCAGATACTTGATTAAATAATTGAAGAGTGAAACGGAAGTGGCGAAATCAAAATTGGAAATGTAAGATATATACATTATTAAGAATGTTTACAGAAGAGAGGAAGGATAGAGATTATGGCCGTACGGACCCTTTCAATACCCCTTGGAATTTCACTGAATGAGTGTCCATTTCCTCTTAGCTTGATGTGTGAGATGTATGTCTCTCCTTCCGTGGGAATCAGGCCTCCATCCTTCTAGCCGACTTTCCTTTCTCAGTGGCTTCACTGCTTTTCTTGATTCCAGAATTGAAGCACTTTTCCAGATGTGCACACAACATGATTTTGTGCCAAGGTTGAAGAATATTTGCCACTTTGCTTCTAATGTGCATTGTAATGATAACCAGAGCTTATTTTCCTTTCTGACTTTAGCAAGCATTGGTCCCATGACTTTGGGATACTTTATAATGCAACTTCCTCCCTCTCCAGAATTTGCATACACGTACGTTGCACATAGGAGACACTGATTATTCACTATTTGGACAGATCATGTCAGAGTCTATAATTTTATAAGTAATTTTTGTTCTCTTTTTTCTTAAAAGTATTTCCTCTTGAGTTGGCCATCCTGAAGCTCAAATGTCACATAACGTACCACACAGAGTTGACTGTTTCCTTTCGAATACCATTAAACTGCCCTAAGACCATCTAATGTCTTTATACCTGCAGGTATTCTTTTTTTTGTATTCCCTCTTCCTGAGCATTTATAAAATATGCTAAATGGATTTTTCTTGGAGGCCCTGCTGCTTATGCTTCTTTATCCAGAGAAGCACTCATTTGCCCCTAAACTTTGATTTCTGTCTCAAAATGTGTGTTTCTTAACAAAACAGTCCCCTTCATGGGTTCCCACTCCACCTCAAGCTGCATTATTTTAAGCCGTCTTGGAAATAAAAACTTGCTGAAGGTTTTAAAATATGGAAATAAAGTGAGTTCCCTAGCATCTCATATTTTCATGCCTAATATCTCAGAGCAATCTGGTGGCTCCATCAGGAATAATTTCCTCTGACGGAAGCTGTATTGCTTTATTTGCGATATGTGCCGAAACGTTTAGCGAGCCTACAGTTTATGGTACTATAATTTTGCTCCGTTTTCCAAGGTCTGCCTGCCAGGGTCCTCATCAACAATGGCAGGGTGCCCGTTTTGATCAATATGTACACATTCCAGCTATAAATTCCCTCAAAATGCTTGGGCGGATGCCCATGATTTATTTATTTCTGTTTGCCAATTAGGTCTAGGGAGTCATGCTAATAATAGACTCCCTGGAGAAAGACAGAAAGAAACCTTGGAGGAAAGGAGCTGAACTAAAAAAGAGAAGCCTTTCTGTTCTCTAAATTTAGAATGAATCCATCACTATTTTTGTTTTACCTCAATTAATGTTCTCCCTCTGAATTCATCTAGTCTCCAAAGAAATGTTAGAGCCTGGAGAATTCCTCCATTACCCTGATCTTTAAAAGTTCTTGTGAAATGTATAGTCCGTGTGATCTGGGATTCTGAGTATATTGGTAGCTCATTATTATGATGGCGCTCGTGGGCGTCAGGAACGATAATGTCTGTATTTAATGATATTTGTGGCTTGCCCCTGGCTTGCAATTACCTGCAAAATGTAGTGCCAGGATTGAAAGTGTGATTGCAGCAGCCCATTTTAAGAGGTATCCTACTGGCTCCTTGATGATAATTTGACCTAAAGCATGTTTGTGGGGGGGTGTGGGGGGTGTGGTGCACTGCCATTTCCTTGTTCCTCCTGAGCAGTAAGAGGAAACTTCCTGGGGAATCGAACAATTCAAATAATAAATTTCTTCAGTATTGGCGTTGCTCAGCCACCTGAATATTCTTGATAAAACAGCAATTGGTCGTCCTCAACCTACCCCATAGGCAAGAGATGCGCAGGATGTGGAGAACGAACATGCTGTGTGTGCGTGGCCATGGCAGCAGAAGGCTGTGATGAAGCTGTCTCGTCTCAGGAGAGCTTTATTGTCCAGGGGCTCAGACTCTTTCAGGAGCTGCTGAGGATTTATTCGTTTTGTATTCTTTTGTCTACAGGGAGTGAGGCAGCGGCTGTTACCTTTTCATACTCTCAGAAAAAAAAAATGCCCTGCACAGCTTGGACAGCTAAGCAACATTACCCCCACCACTGACGGCTGAAATACCGACATTGCATCTACACAGAGTTGGCTGTGAACAAAGCAGGATGCAGCGCAGCACGTCAGGGGCCCGCTGCTGCGCAAAGGGCCAGGTAAAGATAATAGCAGCAAGAGCTCAGGGAAATCTGTAAACCTCAATCCTAAGAACTTTTATGTTATTTTGAATGGAGCAGGAGAAAGCCACGGTCATTCTTGTTTGATGTATTGTTTTAACAGTTTTAACTATTTTATTTCCATTCAGAATAGAAATTAAAATGTCTGCCGTTTATTAGCAGTTTATCTCTTATAAAGACCCTTTTTTTAGGTTTTATACATTTTCATGTTGTAAAACCAACATTTAATCACTGTAGAAAAATTAGAAAGCAGGAATAAGCAAAGGAAAGCAATATAAATATCTAACAATTATATTGCCCTTACCACGTGCTGGACGCTATCATAGACGATTTTGTATGTCTCGTTGCTTAGTCCTCAAAGCAACCTTCTGAGGTGGGTTTTTACCTACCCTCATTCTAGAAATAAGGAAACTGAGGCACAGAGAGGTTACACACTTTCCCCAAGTCCAAAGGCAGTCTGGCTCTGAAGTCTGTGCTCCATACCTCGCTGCCGTCCTCCCCCTGCAACTACCCACAATACCCCTCACTCATGGGGAGCTTACTGTTAACTTCAGCAGACAGCATCCCAGACCTTTTTCTGTTCATATAAAAAAATGAACATATGATTCACTAGTATATCATATATAAATATATTTTCTATGTATATCTTATCTATCTTCTACTATGACTCAAAATAGGCATCTTTATTTTTCCAGTCTTATGAATGAAGAAACAAGCTTTGAGGGGCTGAGGAACTTGTCCTAAATCTCAGGGCTTTGGTGGGAGAGAAACCTCTGTCCAGGGCCACCACCTTCCTCAAAGGGATTCTTTTCTCTGGGCTAAGCTGCCTCACTGTCTTTCAGTTTTGATTTTGACGAAATCACATTATTTGTGGTCATCTGAGGTGTCCCTGGGTGGAAGGTGGTGAGGTGGCATAGAGGATGCTCTGGAAGCCCCCCAGATCTGCCCTATGGGCTGGCACTGCTATTCCCCTGAAGTGGCCATGCTGGCTAGTGACAACTTCTGGCTGTCCTCTTCTCTCGACAATAGCCGTTGGTCGCATCGCCCATCTCAGGGTCTGCATCGAGGAAACCTGACTTGGGACAGGTAGGGAGCTCCAGTGTCGACCACATGAACACCCTCTGTACAACAAAGATCAGAACCCATCCCGAGGCAAGAGCTGCCTTTTGGAGCTCTGCAACAATTTTTAGCCACATAGTTTGCCTTGAATCGGCAGGGATATTTTCTTCCAAAGAGTTCAATGATTATTTTTTCAAAATTTTCTATTAAACTGTTTTGTTAAGGTGACTTATATGGACCAAAGAAAACCCTAAAAACCATTTTAAATACATTTAATTCAGGATCATTTCTCATGTTTCCATATTTCCGAGCTTTAATGGTCTCCTATTTCAAATCAATTACATTCTATTCATCCTTTAAGCGCACGTATTTTGGAGTTATAACAGAAGAAGAGCTATTAATAACCAACCCGCCTCCTTCTTTAATTTCATAGTACCCCCATCTGCCTTCCATCTCTTTTGCTGAAATTTTCCTTTTTTCCATCACTGTAATTTCACAGTTAGCTTTCTCTTACCAACGTGTCCATCCAGCTGTTAAAGTGCCCCTGTTGTCGCCATCTCCCTGGGTCCTCTCTCCCAATGCAACGCTTTCACTTCTCCCCCAACTTTCCTCCTTTGAAACCATATGTAGGGACAACATCCAAAATTTTAAAATGGATTCTTGGATATAGTTACCTTCATCATTTATGTCTTGGAAATGTCTGAGCAATACTGTAATTCTTCATATGTGGAGATTCTGTCACCATACAATTTAATGTTGTTTGAATTTTCCTGTATTTCTGTTTCCATCCCCATCCCAGCTGTCAATACTTTTTGTCCATATTATTGCAAGAGCCCCTGAGCTGAGCTGTCTCCCTTCCCATCCTCATCGGTCTGCTGATAAACTCAACTTCTAAACCTTGCTCTCCTCAAGGCACAGCCATGTTCAAAAGCTCTCCCTTGGCTCCTATTACCTGTGGAAGACCATCTTGTGAGTTCTTTAGACGAAGCTGGCAAACCTCTAACGTTCGTAGGACTGGAATAAAATCTCTGGCTCACTCCTCTTCTCTTCTCACTGTCAACCCCATCCCACCACAAGGGGCCAAGGAGGCATGTGTGTGAGCACCCAGCCTACAAGCAAATTCTGTCCACAACCCTGTAGCCTCCGCCTGCAAATAGTTACCCCCTTGCCCACTCTTGGATCTAGGGGTGTCCATCAGATGTTCTTGATTAAATTAAAATTATGGTATATAATGCAATTGGCTGAATGTTTTCTAAGTCCATTTTTATCTGTAGTTTTCTCCTTCATTTCCTTTTTATTCTCTATGATTTTTTTTCAAAGAAACTGGAGGTTTGTCTTGTAGAGTTCCTCACAGTCTGGACTTTGAGGAGTAAACTCCTACAATGTCACTTAACATGTTGCCCTGTCCCTTGCATTTCTTGTCATTGCTGAGTATGGAAACTTGCTCAGTGTCAGTTTTGATATTTTCGGCAAAACTATTTCACTAGCAAACTCTCCAGATCTCAGGGGCTCACTATGACTAATGCTGTTTCTCGCTCACAGGGTTTGCAGGTCAGCTCTTCCCTCCCACAGGCTGTGGCTTGTGTTCTGGTCTTTTCTACATGTCTTCTCATTCCGGCACTCAGGACAAGGAAGCAGTCATTATCTGGTGCTTGCCGTTTCCATGGTTGAGGACAGGAGCTCAAGGAGGGCAGAGACAAACCACGCACAGGCATTTGCTTCTGTTGCAGCAAATGTTGGAGGTGGCATATGTCAGGTTTGCTCCCATTCCATTATTTAAAGGCAGTCTCGCGGCCAAGTTCACAGTCAATGCGGATCTGCCAGGACATCACAGCAAGTTGGAGAGGAGATGAATAATTACAAACAAATAGTTGTTACATAGTCTATTTTTGTGTGTTTGTTCTTTGGCGATGGAGTCATTAAATCAGAAGGGCTACAAAATGGTGCTGTTTTAATCCTACCATTTTTTCTATCTTTATGAGCTGGGATAGTGTATAAAGAGGAACTTCTCTTTAACTATTTGTCTTAAGCTACAGTTTGTAAAGGAAAGGCAAGATGAACACTTGATGCTTTCTCTTTAATTGCTTATTATTAAAATAAAGTTGCTCCTGTCTTTCAAAGAGACTCATGAGTACTTTGAAGTGGGGGTGTCCTTGTGAACTCATGGATTTATATATATTTGACACATTTCAATCTATTGACGTTATCCTTATGGATGCTAGCTTTGTTAAATGATCGCATCGTCGACCATTGGGAGCCTATTCAAGTTCCTGACTCCCTTGACCATGATCCTCGCGGTCTTGCACCCTGTCTTTGCTTTCTGGTATGAGATATTTCAGGTTCGTCCTGTTCATTTTCTGCCCCAGACCTGGAATCTGACATTTCTCCAAGGAACTAGTTTCTTTTGGTGGAAAATGGTATTTAGAGTCTATAATCTTGGCACTAGAAGTGTTCTTTGCAACTGGGTTAGTCATTGTTTCTAGGCCTTTTTAGTGTACAGAGTTTTAAAAAATGTATTTTGATTTTAGATAAAAATACATCGTGAGTTCATATTAGTATTTCCAATCCAAAGTCAGGGTTTTTGCCTGGTTTCTCACATAACCCAAATCTGATCCTGATTCAAACAGTTAAAATAAAATATGACAACCAGGAAAAAGTAAACACAATGCAATATGATGATATTAAAGAATTATTACTAATTTTTTAAGTGTGATAATGTTATTGTAATTATATTTCTCAAGAATCCCATGTCTACTAGAGATACATACATACTAAAATATTTACAGATGAAATCTCATGGTGTCTGGGATTTGCTTCAGGAGAATCCAAGGGTCTGGTAGGAGATGTGGACAGTGTATGGAAGAAAGAAAATTGGCCATGAGTTGTTAATTGTTGAATTTGGATGATGGGTACATGGGGGTTCATTATTCTAGCCTCTACATTTCTATATGTTTGAAAATTTCGATAACACTTTTTTTAAAAGATAGGCTAGAAGAATATTTAATGACGTGGGACAATGTTCACACATAATTAAGTGAAAAGGTAGGTATGCTATCTTTTTGTAGAAGAAAAACTGTTAAATATATATATTTAAAAGACTACAGGGATTTACCCTAAAAGTTGAATGGTCCTCTCTGTGTTACAGATTATTTTCATTTTAGTCTGTGTTTTCTGTATATTCCAATTTTTCAATATGAACATATCTTACTTTCATAATCAGATAAAAAATAAATGTTATTGACAGTGACTTTAAAAGAGTGAATCCTTCTCCACTTTCTTGTTTGTATGCTTTTATGATGATGGCCATTTTCAAGCTATTACCAAACGCTGTTTTACTGTGGCTGCTTGAAAGCCTGTGATCTCTCCTCTCCTCTCGACATTTTCCTCCAAGCTGCATCTTCCCTGCCTCAGGCGGCCCTCATCTTCCTTTCACTGCTGGATGCCCAGACTTGTGAAAGTCAGAACCTTAACTCAAGGCAGGATAGAATACAACTTTTCCTCTCCCTGCTCAATGTTTCTTCTCTGTTCCTTGTCTGGCTTAATTTTTTTTTAAGATAATTTTTTTAGAACAGTTTAGGTTGACATCAAAATTGAGAGAGAGGTACAGAGATTTCCCACATGCCTCCTGCTCCAATACATGCACAGCCGCCTCCCCGGTTATCAACATCCCCCACCAGAGTGATACATTTGTTACAAGTGATGAACCATTGTCTACATTGACACGTCATAATCGCCCAAAGCCCATAGTTTACCTTAGGGTTCACTCTTGGCATTTCCCATTCTATGGGTTTGAACAAAGTATAATTGCATGCATCCATTATTATAGTATCGTATAGAGTAGTTTCACTCCCTAAAAATCCTCTGTGCTTTTCCTATTCACCCCCCTGTCTCTCCGCCCCCAAGCCCTGGCAACCCTGATCTTACTGTCTCCACAGCTTTGCCTTTTCCAGAATGTCTTGTAGTTGGACTCATACGGAATATAGCCTTTTCACATTGGCTTCTTTCACTCAGTAATTTGTGTTTAAGTTTCCTCTCTGTCTTTTCATGGCTTGATAAACTCATTTATTTTTAGCACTGAATAATATTCCATTGTCTGGCTTAGATTTTTTTCATCTCTAGTTCTCTTCCTTGTATCTGATAATTTTCTTAACAATATTAATAAGAATACATGACATTTACAGAGCTTCTGCTAAGTGCCGGGCACTTTGCTAATTACCTAACATCCATTAATTTCTTTAGTCTGCAAAACAACCTTAGCATTTAAGAATTACTTCCAATCCTTGAGACTCTGCAACATAGCAATTTCTAGCCACGCTGGGTGGGTGCGGCTCAGAGAGAGCTTACGAGGCTTATCCAGCCACACTTCACCCGAGAGGCAGAACTGGTTCAAGTTCATGTTTGTCTGGGTCGTGGTTTTCCCACTCTGCCCTGCTGCTTTCTTTTAAATAGAAGAGAAAAGGGGGCAGGGGGACTCCTCAAATTACCCTAAAGCAGAGATCTACAAAATCTGTTAGAGGATTTAAAAAGGGATTATGTCGTATTTGTTTAATTATTCTGTGTCCACTTGTATTTCACATTAGCCCCATAACGTGAAATAACTTGCTGTTTTATAGTTGGCTTCATTTTAATAAAAGTAGAATTCAAAATGCACAATAATAAAATTTTGGGTTTAAACAAGTCTTATTAGGAAGGATACAGAGAACCAACCATCTAGGGGTGCTCTGTGCAGAAGGAAGAGCCTTAAGGCCAGGGAGAACATCAACAGGAAGGAGAAATCAGGAAGAGAAAAGAATCACACCAGCAAGAAAGGAAGCTCTGGAGCCCTGGGGCTGTGCCATCTCTGGGTTCTAAAAGCAAGCAAAGGCTCTGAAGCACATCCACATTCACATCCTGAGTAATGTCATCTTTGGCATGGCGTTCCTTAGTGAAAACATGTTCTTCCAAGTTGTAAAAAAAATAGAAAGTCCCTAAAACATAAAGGATGCCTTTTAGAAATTAAAACCAAAACTAAACAGTATTTCTCACGGTGGCAGCTCTTTGCCAACGAATTGCGTGTGTCCTTGGTGTTTCCCAATTCACCCTTTGGAACCGTCCGCCCCCCTCCTCACATCTGATGGCTGAATACTGCCATGGCCCCAGCACTGTAGACCATCCGTGGCCAGGACCTCTGCAGCCCACTCCTTTGGCTGCATGGAGCCTGCTGGATGGGAGGACTTTTCTTCTTATCACATCCTACCTCTCCCTCCTTCACAGACTAGCGTGGTGCCTTGGGACCCTGCTGCCACACTGTAGCAAGTGGGAATCTGACAAACCGAGGGGACGTTGCCAGTGAGTTACCTCTCCTAGGAAGATATTTGCATTTTTGCAGGAGTCTTGGGGAGAAAAGGCCTTCAACCAGAGAAAGGGGTTTATCCATGGAAATTTCAGACTCTGGGAGAAGCTAAAACAGGTGATGTTCGGGGGTAGATATAGCCTCATCAAATCATAGTGTATTTGAAGCGCAAACCAGTGGACACAAACTCTTCAAACAGTAACGGTTTTGGCCCTGCTGTCAGTGGACATTTTTATTACACTGAAAGAGCTGAGAGATGGATAGGGCGGTGGGGTAAGTGGGAAAGGAAAGAGAGGAAGAGGATAGTGACAAAAATGGGGCAATATGGAAAGAATACATAGGGGAAATGACTTCTAAGTGCTGAGGAGGCTTTTAGGTTGAATTCATCCTGGAATTTTTTCTCTTCCCACCAAAAGCTAGAAGAGTCCACAAACGCATCCCACCAAAGCAGGGAAAGTGAGAAAAAGCATTCCCAGGAAGCCACAAGCAGACATTTGGAAGAACTTGAGAAAAGACTCCGTACTGAAGACACAAAATTTGCCCAAATCTGTGCACTAGCACATGGAAACAGAAATAGCTGGATACAGGGGAACACGAAAAAAAAAAAAAAAAAAGACTTGATAATCCTGAACTGTGAACAAATACAGGCACATTCTCTGACATTTGACTCATCCCTCTGGTAAGGACTTGACTCATTCAGCACGAATTTTGGTGGAATATTGGGAAACATGGACAAGTAGAACATTTAGAAAAGGATCAGAAGGCAAATGCAGAATCAGACCTCAAACCAAAACAAGAACAGAGTCAGACCCCAAAGGCAATCTTGGCTGATTACTTTTTCTTATAACTAACACTTCCTCTTTACTATGTTCCAGGTGCTGTTCTGTTTTCTACAGATGAATTCAATTTTACAACAACACTTTGCAGTAGGTACTATTTTTATCCCCATTTTATAGGTGAGTCCTTTGTGACTAAGGAACAGATAAGATAATTACATTTGACCCGAGTCATGTAGCTAGTCAATGGCAGAGACAGGATTCAAACACAGGGGGTCTTAGATGGAGGGTTGGTGCTGCACTGCCATGCAATGTTAGTCTACTTTGAATTGGGGAAATCTCACCACCAGGGACAGCTCGACGGCAAAGGCAGTCCAAAGCTTCATAACTCCGCTTGTTCAAGTTCAACTTGTATTGCACAGATCAATTTATCAACTGTGGAAAACAGAACCATGTCCCAGCATTCTAGGCCCAAAAGATAGAAATATAAAGTTGATTATAGATTCCATTTCCTCCTCCCTAGAAGTCTCCTCTCCTGATGCACATGGACGTCTTTCCCCCAGCCCACGTCTCCTGTGAGTGGTCCTGGTCTTCCCTTCCTTGTCCCATTTCCTCAGTGGGTGTCTTTGTCCATCTACACAGAATTTTAATATTACTATTCCTCCTGGGAATGCAAAAACCTATTCAGTCCTTTCATTACCTCCTCCTGGGACATCCTCTCTTCTCTACTTTGCTCAAGACCAATGACTCATTTCTTGAATATATTCCTATATATTTCTCCTCTACAAAAGAGCCACTAGCCTTCCAGGAAGCCAAATTCTTAAGCAATATTGAAAAGGGGCTGAAGAAGAGGGACCTAGGGTCTCCTTCAAATATTTGGAAGGCCAGGACCCTTCTAATAGGAAGCATCAGAGATACACCAAGGATATGAGGCTGTGTCATTTACAGTTTGTGCATTTAGTGAAGTGTGGATAATTCATTTCATTGTTCTAGTTCAATAAGTCTCACTTCTCCTTTTTATTATTTTCATTGAGTACCAGGGTAAAGAGCATCTTGAGCTATCACAAAGGGGAAGTATTTGAGCTGAGTTGACCACCCTTTGCCCCACTGCTGCCACCACCAACCATTGTTACAATAAAAATTCAGGTGCCCAGAGTGTGCAGAGAACCCTGGAGTGGTGCCTGAACAAGGCCTATTCCTAGCTGGGTGCCCAAGCATCTGTTGCTCACTCTGCCTGTTGAAAGGTAGGACAGGACACCCTTTGTTACTCATTCTGAACTGCTTTCATGTTTCCACATCAGCAAGAAATAGTTAGGGTCTACTTAGGTGACGGTGTTCTGACCGAGGGGACCAGTTTGTGTCCTGCGACTCTTGGAGGAAGAGAGAACGCAGGCCCTGGCCTGCAGGACCAACTGCCCCAACTCGCCGACAGGCATGGGGATGGAGGCAATGCTGCAGTCTGACTTGAGATTACACAGTTG